GGTTAGCTTGGAATCTGGTTCATTGACTTTGACTAAAGCTTTTCCTGCATACCTCTATAGACCATATCTTCTTTTTTTAATAATCACATAATTAGAAGAAGCATCTCATTACAGCTTTAACATATTCAACAATTTCCAGAGCAAAGATACATCTCTTTCAAAAGTGGCTATAAAATTTTTAGGTTCATAGTTGAATTAATACAGTTATACAATATTGAACTTGGTATAATCCCTGTAAGACATAAAATTGAATGAGTTTTTAACCTTTAAAAAAGATCTCTATTTCATTTTAAAATATACTGTTTCTTGCAGAAAGACTCATTGTTTTTGCTAATAACACTTAGATCTTGGCACATGTATCTCTGATCTATATGTATCTGATTATTACTAGTCATGGTCAGTTGCACTTGGATCTTAGCTCACAGCATTCTAAAATGGTGGGTCCAGGCTTAGCCCCGGGAAAGTTCCTCTGCTTATTGGGAGACCAACCAGTCCTGAGCTAAACTGCCCAGCCTGCATCATGGAAAGTTACCGAAGCACCTAACTGCCTTTAAAAGATATCTGACTTCCCCTGCTGCTTGCTGTTTTTCTGCTCCATAAGAGGCAGCCCAGCGGTCTATTTGCTCTCAAATAAACTACTGTCCCCATAGAGTGGTCTGGTCGGTGATCTTTGCTGCATGCTTCCATACAATGACAATAAATTCTATGTGTAAGTAGGCCCTGTAGTAGAGAATAGCATACCTAAGTTACTTAAGTTGTATGAGAATACAGAAAAAGGATGCTAAGATTGAAAATAAAGGACATGGAGAAGTAAGCTTTTTGTTATTTTATACAGGGGCTTACTATGTAGCCCAGGCTAGCCTAGAACTTTCTGTGAAGTCAAAACTAGTCTTAAACTAGTGATCCTCTTGCTTCAGCTTCCCAAATGCTGAGATTACCGATGTGTACTACTATCCCTGGCTGAGATAGGTCTTTTGTTTGTTTTATGTTGCCCTGGCTGACTCAGTACTCTGTATGTAGCCCAGGGTAACATTGAACTCAGTGGCAGTCTTCCTGCCTCAGCCTCCCAAGTACTGGAATCATAGGCATGGATGTGCCACTATACTCAGCTGAATTGGATCTTGAGACGTAATGACACTCAGCAAAAAGGAACAATATTTTCACAGACCCAGAATCATTGGAATATTTGTGGATTGGCCATTGGTTATGAGGCTTGGAAGACAAAGGAGAGGAAAAAAGAAACTTGTTATTGGCTTTGCATTCCACACTCACCCACTAACACAATATTACAAGTTTTAATGATAGGTATTTTCTGAAGGCAGTGAATTATTCTATTGCATGATTGTGGACTCATGTGAATACGCTATTTCTCTTTACTGATGGAAAAATGATGTTGGTTTTAGATGAGTGTTCCTAACAGGACAAACCAAATAAAATGCAGGGTTGGGTGCCATTTCTGTGACAAATTTGCACATCATGGATAGCTACAATTGTTCTTGATTCACCAATGTTTGCAAGGAGGTGTACATATGTGTATACGTGTGAGATCTTTTTTAGAAATGTATTTATTGATTTGAGAGTGTCATGCAATGTGCTTTATTTTCAGACCCCTTCTCTCATCTCTAGACCCACCCTACTGCTCCCGCCCCTGGTTTCATGTCTTCTGTTATTTTTTTCTTTCTCTAAAAGGCCCATTGAATGTAATTAGTGTATCCCAAATGTTCTTGGGTGTAGGTCTATTCTTTGAATTCTGGTCAACCTACCAAGCATCATACCCCTACAGAAAACTGACTCTCTCTCTGAGCAGTTATCAGTTGTGTGTCCCAGGCGCCTGGTTCCTCTGAGGGGCGGGGCCTGCTACAGATTTGACTGTGGAGAGTTAGCCATGGAGGGAGGGGCTTCTGGGCACCATCTTAGGACAGAAGGGCTTGGAGAGAAAGATGGCCCCAGCATCTCACCCACATGGATGCAAGAGGGGGCATTTACCAATCTGGGGCAAGACTGTGGGCCCAAGATGGTGGGTGAAAGTTAGCAGAGATTGTAGGCGGGCAGGGAAGTGATCTGGAACTGCGGGCTTCAGGCAGAGCTGGGTTCTGGGTGTCAGGTGTTCATGTCTTTGTAATTTCTACATCTCCCCCTCCCTACCCAAGATATAAAATGAAAAATTCTGAAAAAAAAATGTTATGTAGTTTGTTTGATAGCATCCTGAGCAAGAGACCCTGGAAAAAGTGAGGGCAGGTCAAACAGAGTGGGAAGGTGAAAATTTAGTGGGATAAGTTGCCAACAGATACTCAGGACTGCGGCTTCTTGTCCACCTCTCCCATACATGCTGAGTTTTGTCTAGCTTGGGCTTGCATAGGTCTTGTTCATGTTGTCATAAGGACTGTGGGTTCATAGGTGCGACTACACTGTGGTATTCAGACAATACAGTTTCCTTGTATTCATCCACCACTTCTGGCTCTTACAATCTTTCCTCCATCTGTTCAACAATGGTCCCTTAGCATTGAGAGGAGACAGTGTGATATAGATGTCCCATTTAGGGTTGAGCTCTCCACAGTCTCTTATTCTCTGCATGTTGATCAGCTGTGGGTCTCTGTGTTAATTGCCATCTGATACAAGAAAAAACTTCTCTGGTGAGGGTTGAGAGATGTACTAATCTATGGGTATAAGAGTAAGTCCTTAGGAGTGAGTTTACTACTATGCTCATTTAGCAGAATAATGGAAGTTCTCCCCTATGTCCTGTGACTTCTCTAGCAACATATTCTTGGCCCTAAAAGTACCATGTATGAGCTCCATCTTGTGAAGTGGGCCTTAAATCCAATTAGGAAGTGGTTGGTTACTTCCGTAACATTCATGCCACTATTGCACCAGTGGATATATCTTACCAGGCCAGTCATTACTGTAGCTCATGTGTTCACAGTTGAGTAAGATTGAGGACTACCTTTTTCTTCCAGTAGCATGTGTAGCTCCTTTGAGTACTATGAAAGCTAACCAGTAGAGCTGAAGCTTTGAGGTAAGTACCAGCTTGATGTTTTTTATTTGTTCTATGAATCTTGAATGTAGTGTCTTCAGCAATAGGGTCTTATCCTCAAGTTCTGGTGTGTAACCATGAAATTGGCAATAGCCATTATTGTTTGAGGGTCTATGCTACCTCCCTGGTCAACCACTCTAAAAGAGGGAGCCCATTCCTGGCACTGAGCTTTTTATTTGCTAGCTTGTGGCATCTGACAGGGCCATTGAGCCCCCTTTATGGTTTAACTCTATT